GAAGGTGCAATTAACCAGCGAGCCATAGCGTACATGCACAGTACAACACATCCTCATCCACACAACCACCAACACCATCAAAGATGGCCCGTACCAAGCAGACTGCCCGTAAGTACCACCTCATCTGCGCATCGCATCGCTTGCATCGTCGCCGCTGCTCGCTTTGGTGTTGCCACCATTGCGTTGCATCACGACTTTGCCCGACACCTGCACTGCACTTCACTTTCGCATCGATACTAACTCTTCTCAGGTAAGTCCACCGGTGGCAAGGCTCCCCGCAAGCAGCTTGCTTCCAAGGCTGCCCGCAAGTCCGCGCCGTCAACCGGAGGTGTCAAGAAGCCTCACCGCTACAAGCCTGGTACCGTCGCTCTCCGTGAGATCCGTCGTTACCAGAAGTCCACCGAGCTTCTCATCCGCAAGCTGCCCTTCCAGCGTCTTGTCCGTGAGATTGCCCAGGACTTCAAGTCCGACCTCCGCTTCCAGTCCTCTGCCATCGGCGCTCTCCAGGAGTCCGTCGAGGCCTACCTCGTCTCCCTCTTTGAGGACACCAACCTGTGCGCCATCCACGCCAAGCGTGTCACCATCCAGTCCAAGGATATCCAGCTCGCCCGCCGCCTCCGTGGTGAGCGTGGTTAAGCTTCTCACTTCTCGCACGACTCGACATGACAACACATTCGGGTTGATGATGGTTTCCGGGGTTGGGTCTTAAGGCGTTGTGGTTAATCATGGTTTACGGTTTTCAGCCTTTCTGGGCGCATCGAATGATGCTGAGCATGTAGTATATCCGGTCTCTCAGTGAAGGTCACTGAACGATATCACCCGAATCAACTGATTCTTACTTCAATCTACCTTCCCATACCTCGTGACTCTTTGCTCTGTTTGACTTGATCTTTGACTTTATCCGTGGCTCCATCCGCCGCCAAATATACAGTCGACGTGCCAGACACTGACAGCGCCCATACATTTTGGAAAAGCCTGCGTTGGTCATGTCGACTCGTGGAACCCGTTCTCACTTAATAAAGTAGACTCCGTCACGAGACCGGTCCCATGCGCTTACAATAGTGTTGCGCTGCATGAGCTCGATCAGGAGTCGCACCCGGGCCTGCTGGTTGCGATCCGAGACCCCGCATATGACGCTTTCAATGGGGCTACGACCAGACCGTTGCAGATGGTGTCGTATACAAATGGCCTTGCTTCAGACATATGGATGCATTCCCCAATCTGCACTTCAATATGACCTGGCAAACGGAGTTCTGGTCATGGATGTCGCCGCCGAGCGTGAAGCTAGGCTCTACACCAGCGGTGGGAGAGAAAGCACCGACAACCTCCAGGCTCAGCTTTTCGGCTGAAGGCAAGCCAACAGTCGTGAGCTTCCTGAGGCACTGTGGATGTCCATGTACTTGAAACATATCAGATGGGAGAAGCGCGTCTGCTAATGGTGCTATAGTCGCTGAGAAGACATTCCTTCAAATGCGCGCAATTGCCCCAGCGCATCCAGATGTTCAATTTGTGGCCGTCTCGCACAGCGATCAAGCTGCAACAGACAAATGGCTTGCAGCTTTGCCTGAGCCATCACGAAATACACAGCCGAATCTTAACATCATTATAGACGCGGACAGGGATATCTACGCAGCATGGGGTCTAGGCACTTCAAGCCTGTGGCACGTCCTGGGCAGCATACCTAGTGTGTCTAAGTTGGACAAAGAGGACGGCATCAAGGTGCGGTCGACCGAGAGCGGCAATCGATGGCAGACGGCGGGCAATTTCGCTGTAGATGGCCAGGGCGTGGTTAAATGGAGTAGGAAGGACGAGCGCGCGGACGACATGCCAGACTTCAACGAGGGCGTGGACGCTGTACTTGGAGCGAAGTTCACCCGCTCTGGTGTCGGCGAAGCAATGCAGGGCTGAAGCTTGACCGCCACATTGGGACTCAAGTGTATCTACCGAGAAGAACATTTAGCTCTGACATGTCTATATCATTATTTCTGCAACTCCTCTTGTCTCGTAATGTACACGCATATTCAATGTTTGATTCGCGCGTCGGCATGTGACCTCACGACTGCACGCGGAAGCGCGCCAGCATAAGGAGCGCGTCAGGCTGTCGCCACACAATCGCGTCACCCGCTCCATGGCTAGACAACAATGGCGACATGGCCGCATCCACCGCCCAGCCGATGAACCCGCCCAGCGAATATGGCTCTGACGTTGAAATACCCTCTGTCGCTGCCGTGAGCGACTACGGATCAGATACGGGTTTCGAAGACATTGACGAAGACACCATACTCGCTGGGGTGCTGGAGACGATCCAGACGGCCAGGCCGACCGCGAGAAGCCGCGTGCTACCTAGCATTGAATTTGAAGAGGGCGAGCGTGAGGACGAAGATCAAGATGTGGACGGCTTCGTACAGGTCCACCGGCCCACGCTGCTGCGCGTTGCAAAGGCTAGGGACAAGGCCACGAGCGTTGCTCCCGCTGGAACAAGGCGAGAGATGCAAAGCTCGCCGCTTCGAGGACACGAAACGCTGGAAGTCGAGTACGACGAAAGATCGCGTCGGGCGTGGAGTGGTATGTAGACGCAAAGGCGTGCTGGGTTTCCAACAGACTGACAACTAACAGCGTCTAGTCCCGCTTGAAGAGCCCTCCTCACAATCGCCCACTCTCACGTCCTCGCGCTTCAATTCAATTGCCTCGCCATCGCGCACAGAGTGGCCCCTCTCCACGCCTCAGGCGGTAGATAACGCAGACCACGACACACGCCCGCCTATTGAGCGCTTTCGCACTAAGCCCAAGAAGCCGCTCTCCGTCACAGATCTTGTATCGCCAGCATGGTGTGAGCTGCAATACTTTTACACCCTCAGCAAGTTCGGACGCAAGCCGCGCACGCAAGCCATGCGGACGGGGTCTAAGATACACCAGAAGCTCGAGGACGAGGTGCACACCACAGTGCCAGTCCAAGTGCAGACCAAAGAAGACCGCTTTGGCTTGCGAATGTGGAAACGCCATATCCGGGTCTGCGGTGTCTGCGCGAAACGGGTCTGACTCGTGAGCTAGAGGTCTGGGGCGTGTTAGAGGGCCAAGTCGTCAACGGTGTCATTGACGAGCTGTCTTACCAGTGTCCGGATCCTGTCTTCGAAGAGCAGTTTGGGAGCGAGGACGGACAGAACGCGACTGGTGGTGTCGTCCCGCTGCCTCCTGGTCAAATGAGCATTACCCAAGCATTTGGGAAGACTGCATCGCAAGACGGCGACGGCGATTGGCTAGGTGGCCTGGAACCTGATCGGCAGGTCTATATTGCAGATGTCAAAACACGCTCGGCTCGGTCACTGCCCTCGGGTGCCTCTTTGCGGCCGACATGGATGCAACTGATGCTTTACCGCAAACTTCTCGAGTCGCTTTCTTTGAATACAGTCGATGCAGAGACTGTTTTTGGAAGATACGACGTGATGCCGCTAGAGTCTTTCACATCCATTTTCATGGACCAGATTGGCGGTATTGGACCTGACAACGAAGCCACCAGTTACCCGAATCTTCTCTCCCTGTGGGCTCTACTTGTCACTGAGATGCAAACCACGCTTCCACCAACTAGTCTGTCTCCCATACTACGTGCTGAGTTTCGCTACGCGAAGACTGGCGATGTCATTGGCAGCGAGCTGACTGTATATGAAACTGATGTCATTGACGCGTACATCTCCGAGGAGATGGCTTGGTGGAAGGGCGCAAGGGAGGCAAAAGGGGTTGAAATGGAGGAAGCATTCAAGTGTAGGATATGTGACTTTGCTGAGTCCTGCTCATGGAGAAAGACGAAAGTGGAAGAGGCAACAGAAAAGAGTCGGCTGAGAAGGCTTGCGAGGGAAAAGAGCGCTGTCTGAGGGTATGATTGAGCTACGACAGCTGGGTGGTACGTTAGTACTGACTGTATATTTTGATGATTCACGATTTGTTTGAGCATTATCCTGACATTACGACTACTTCAAGTCAACGTTCCCTTTCGTGATTTCCTGCATTTTCATCGTGACGTGACGTGACATAGCAGGCCTGAAACACGAATCTTGAGACCATGTAGTCACCAGATTGATCTACCAAAGGTTGAAACGGCCCCGGTCGGCGCTATATACGCGCCTCCATCCGGTTCTTCGAGAAGGTCATATGCAAACGAGTGCACCCAGTCCACACATGTGCAGTTCCTACTTTGAACTCGGTACCTGGTATGGACCGTATCCCGGCCTTGGAAACTTTGGCGTGCCATCTTCGTTCCACTCGAACTTCTGCGTACGAATCGTTCGAGCACCCCAGCCATTAGTGGGATCCCGCATTCCATGGTAGACAATCCAGTCCTCCGTACCGTCGGGAGAGGTAGTAAAGCTAGCATCTACAAACCTGTCAGTTCCATGAGGATGTATCGTGCGCAGTGTGACTTACGGCCGACCCCCACCCACCTCCTCCTTTGGGTTTTGATAAAAGACGGGATATGGGTGTTTGCGCCAATCGCTTGGGTTCATTGGGTCATCTCCAACCAGCTCGAGCTGGGCCAGGCAGTAGTTTCGGGTATCGGAACGTCCAGCGCTGTAAATGATGAAGTTTTGACCAGTCTTGGGGTTGGTGAGTTGCTGGGGACCTTCATTGGAAGACAGACGATCGTTGCTTGCGCGACCGAACGGTGTCTTCTCCCAGGGGTATTCTGGGACGGAGATGATTTGGCGTTCTGAAAACGGTGATGAGACGGTCCACGGATTTTCCATCTTCGTGATGCAGAGATTGGCTGGCCATCCGTCGTACTGGCGATACCAGCAACTATACACGTGGTATAGATCATTTTGAGGCCCGTGAATGAAATATGTTCCATCAATTGCGAACTGATCGTACGTGTTGAGCTCTCCCTTGAATTCCCACTGGGCGTCCCAAGGGTTGGAGCCTTTGCCCTCGACCACGTACATGCGGTGGTGGACGGCAGGGCAGTTATACTCACACCACATCTCCACTTCAGGAGGAGGAGAGTCGTTGCGAGGATCGGCCGTGAAGATGGCGTACCAGTTGCCATTAATCTCATGAATCTCGGGTGCCCACAGATCAGTTGAGTAGTTCATGCCTGGCGGAGGCTGGAAGACAAGCTTGGACTCGGCATTGTTCCAGTCTGTCAACACGTCACTACGGTAGACGGTAATGTTTTGTGTATTAGTAAAAGTTAGATAATAGTGGCCATCGTGGCGGAAGACCCAGCTGTTGCAATTAGTCTCAAGGAAGCTCATGGGGACGGCTCAACGTACGGATCCGCTCCTACGCCCTGCAAGATCGGGTTTTCGTAGATGGATGAGTTGAATGAGTTAGATGGCGAGGAATACTGGCATATGCCGAGGGCAGCAAGAGCTGCAATGAACAAGAGCTTGAACATGTTGGCAAATGAAGAAGAGTGTAAGTGTGGGGACTCAGGATGAAGAGGGGAGGTTCAAGGAGGGGAAAAGCCAGAGGATTCTTGTGCGGAGACTGGCCGGGGTCAGTACGGACGAGTATGTATAATTAACAGCCAAAGCACGACTTAAGGTTCCTATAGTGTGTGTTGTGCAAAGTTACGGCGGAAGCGGCTAATTACCCAAGTCGGCGTGCTTGTACGGGCCCCGCCAGAGTCATCCTGTCAACACACCCATATTGTAGCTTTACATGGAATCAAGCGAAAGTAGCCCCCAGCTCTTCAGCTTCGAATCAACCTGATACACCACGGAGCCTGATATCTTCAGAATAATCCAAATGCGACGTAACATGCGAATCGCTAGGCGAAGTCACGTAGGCTTGGGTTTTGCATGCAAGTGAAGCTCAAGAGTTTGGCTGTTCCTACGTGACGTCGCTCACTGCGGAGCTTGAGAGAGCTCCCCGCGTTTTGGAGCTGCACGCGAGTCAGTCGCATCGTGGGCTTGGCGGAACTTTTCCATCAGCTAGCAGGTGCTGGATTTGGCAGCAGTGAGGCCATCACCCTCACAATGAACAACCAGCAGTTCCGGCGGCTGTTGCTGAGCGAAACGCCGCGTCAGGATGGCGACAAGGGCAAGTCTCCTGCTGCCAGCACGCCCAAGTCTGTCTTGGGCGCGCGCAAACACTCGAGCATGCCCATGACACCGTAAGGGCTCCCAGCCATCGTCTTCGCATGATATTCGCTGACAGTCACATAGCCGCCAAATCGGCAAGGGCTCGGTGCAGGCCGACTTTGCGCGCCAGCTCGCCGAACGCAATGCCAAAGCCAACCCACAGAAGCAGGGCCGCGCCTCCGCCCCCAAGGGAACTAAGCTCGCCGCGGGCTACACCGACCGCACCAAAGGGCGCGTGGATCTGGAGGACAGCGAGATCGCAAAACGCGTCAAAAATCTCGAAGACGCGATGAAGCTCGGCGAGATCGACCGCGAAACCTTCGAGAAGCTGGTCCAGGAAATCACGGGCGGAGACGTCAGCACTACACATCTGGTCAAAGGACTGGACCGGAAACTGCTGGAACGAGTTCGGCGCGGGGAGGATGTCTTGGCCGGTGAGGTGGAACAGGCGGAAGAGGAGGTAGACGAGGCACCAGAGGAGTCCCCAGCTGTCGAGGATGCTTTCGACGAGCTGGCCGGTGAAGACATTGGCCCGATCGTGCGCCAGAAGGCAGACAAGAAGGGCGAAACGATGAAATCACCTCCGCCCCCAGTCGCTGGCGTGAAGCGAAGCAGGAACGACATCCTGAAAGACCTCAAGAGACAACGAGAGGAAGCCGCCGCGGCTGCCGCAGCTGAGCACGAGAAAAGGTTCCCAAGCTTGGGACCTGGCTTCCGCAAGATCAATCCTCAGGGTGAGACATCACGAATCGAGGTCGACGAAAAGGGCCGCGAAGTCTTGATCGTCACGGGCGTAGATGGCAAGGAGAAGAGGAAACTCAGGAAACAGAAAGTCTACGAGCAGCCTGCGCCTGAAATTCGGAATGACATTGACGATCCGAAGAAACCCATCAACATGCACAATTTACCAGAGCCGAAAAATGATGAATCTGAAGACGACGACATTTTCGCGGGAGTTGGTTCAAACTACAATCCCCTGGCTAATCTCGGCGATGATGATGATGACGACGAAGACGAAGACGATTCTAAGGAAGAGGGTGAGAGCCCGAAGCAACCAGTCGACACTGCGAAGGCTCAAACAGGGGTGGAATCTGAGGAGACCAACGAACCACACCAAGAGCCTAGCGAACCTGTTCCAAAGAGCTCAGCAAGTACTGCGCCAGTCAAGCGTGACTACTTCAAGTCTGTCACACGCGAATCAGCTGACGCCTCTGACCTCTCTGTGGCCGATGCCACAGTACGCGCCGCCCTAGCAAAAGTGCGTAATCTCGACGAAAGCTCTACGCTACTTCAGAACCTCTCTTCAAATGATCCCAATGACCCTGAATCGAAAGAAGCTCGCCTCAAGAAGCGTGCTGCTGAGCTCGCAGCTTCGGATCGAGACATGGAAGACATGGACCTTGGTTTTGGAGCATCACGATTCGACGATGCCGACGACATGGAGAGGGAGGGTGAAAAAGTCAAGTTCAGTCAATGGAAAGGACTTGGTGCAGAGGACGACGAAGAAGATGCTGAGGGCGGCGGAAGAGATGCGAAGAAGCAGAGGAAGCGCGGTACTAAGAAGAAGCGTGGTGATAAAAACAAGGCAGAGGACGTACTCAATGTCATGGAACGACAGAAGGAGAAGAAGAAGACACTAGGTTGATAGAGCCATAGGCTCTATGGCTACGGCATATTTCAACGCACCAACTCTAGCAATGAATAGTGATTGAATAATGGCTAACCTGGAGGATTTCACGGAATCTGAATTTAACCAAGGTGGTTCCATAAAGCATTGAACCCCATCATACTACACTATACGGCTTCTTTTCAGTATGTAATACTGCCCAAAGGGCTTCAAGCTATCACCTCTACGTAGGAAGATGTAAGTCCAGTCACGGACCAGCACCAGGCCTGATCGATTCTCTAATAGGCACGGCGTAATCTCGTGCGCCTTCAGTACTGAAAACAACAACCACAGAGTTGTCGGTCAGCCCTAGTTCCCCCTTATTCTCTCGACACACTTGCTTCAAGGCGGTCAAAGTTGCTGCACCACATGGTCCGACCTTGACGTGTTGACTGTGAAGATATTGCAGGTCATGGTGGACATCGACATCAGAAACTGTAACACTTGCGTCGATACCTTCTTTCAAAACCTTCCACGCGGTCGTGGAAACTGTCCCGCAGTTCATGCCGTTCATGATGGTATGGCCTGTCGCGATAGGAGTGATTTCCCCAGCCTCCAAGCTTGCCTTCAGACTTGCGGCAGTGTCGGGCTCTACTGTGATCACTGTTGCAGAAGGTTCCTTGCTCTTGTAGTGCATAGTGACAGCTTGCGCCCACGATCCTACACCAACCGAGGCTATGGCGTGAGTTGCTGAATGGACGCCCATGGCCGCTAGCTGCCTGTCTGTCTCGGTGAGCATTGTTGTATATCCCTCCACCACCCACTATTCCAGTCAGCATAGCTATAATTCTAGCCAGACTCATTGAATTACCTCCGGTATCTCCTCATAGCCTTCCCACGAGACGTCCATGACCAGCAGACCATCTCTGTCCGCCTCTTCTCTCGCTTTCTTGATGGAAAAGTCGTAGTCTCCGGTCACTACCACAACTTTGGCGCCTTCGCTCTCAATCTTCCGCTGTGTAGCTTCGTCCATAAAGTCTGGCACAAATATGATGGCGGTGATCCCCAAGTACTTGGCCATTCTAGAGACGGCTCTTCCCCAGTTGCCCTCAGTGCAAGTGACAAGGCGAATACTAGCCTGCCTTGCAGCCGTGCCTAACTCTTCCAGGGTGCTAGTTGGCGGAAGATTACATCTCGCGGCGACCGCTTTGAATACAGCCCACGATGCCCCAAGAATCTTGAATGCGGGTAATCCCAGGCGATTAGATTCGTCCTTGAGCAGAACATGACCAAGTCCAAGTTCTTTTGCAAGGCTCGGTAGAGGGATGAGCGGAGTGACTGCATAGTCTGGTAGGTTACGGTGAAAGGGCTCGACCTCAATGTTGGTTTTGGTTTCGTTGTAGACCCAGGAGGCAGCGGATGAGTTCAGAAACATGGTGAAAGTGAGAAACAAATTGTTTGCGAAAGCAATAAAGGTCTAGCAGCAGTACGCAGGCGGCTTTTAATGCTTTCACGTCTGTAGTTGCATATGTTCGATTATAGAGGAAGGGCGCAGCTGTAACCCTGGGGGAACTAGCTTCACGATCTCAAAAACATGCTGGGCCAGGCTATGCCGGATTGCCCAATGGAAAACATGCAGTCCTAGGGCGCACCAAGTAGCGGCAAAATTCGTGCCCGCTCTCACCTACACGACATTAGCTAACAGTGTTTAGAGGTATGCTCATTATAAGCTTAGGAGAGCCTAAGCATATACGCAGCTCTAAAATAATTTACTTAATTCTATGAAAGAAATCTTTAAAAATATACAGGCTACCTCGTTGCCTCCTTTTGTTAGGAAAAGGCAGGCATGAATTTTGCCGATGCCTGGTGGGCGCAGGTTGCAGCACATTAATCTAGAGCTCCAGTGGATAATTAGCAATCCACGTGTCGTCTCCAAAGAGCCAACAGAGACAAAACCATGGCCTTGAAGTGCATCACGGCATCTGATCTGTCGCCAACTGCTCCAATGCGACTGCTTCGACTTTATGAATCTTGTCGGCGCATTATCGATAAGCGGACCGAGGTCATGCGGCGAGACGCATACGTCACCGGGACAGCTCCCTTGCCAGGCACACCACGACTTACATGTGCTGAACAAGTTCTCAACTTTGCTACTCTTTAGCACTGAACAATGCCACACGCACACTCACCGCCGCAGACAGCACTGCAAAACATACCCAAGGTAGTGGTGCGTCCAGCCTGGGAGAACATTGTCGCTTGTTCCTACTTACCAAAGGTAGTCACCCTGAAATCAATAACAGATTTAACAAAGGGCTAACAACAATCAATAGGGAGTTATTTTTTTTGTTGCGCACCCGTTCCTCTACCCGTTACTGAAGGCTCGCCTTCTTCCTGCCTTCCTGCTGAGTGCCTTTATCATCCTGAACCTGTTCTTTTGGACCTATCTCCCACAAGTCGCATTTCTTGCGTTATTCCAACACAATGGGAGTGCATGGGTCAACGGAACCTTTCTGGTCTTGGGCGAAGGAGCTGCTGTAGTAGCAATACTGTTTGAGTCGTTCCTGGTCGTGAGTGCTCAAATGTGACTATTGATTTTGAAAGGCATATTGACGTGCGCAGGACGAATCGCAAGTGGACATATTCGATGCCGTTCTGGTCTACAAGGGCTACGAGGACCTGGTCCGCCAACATCGACCTGTCTCCGAAGACTCTCTAAATGACCCTGTCCGCCGCCTCGGCAAGCCTGCGCGGTCGTGTGTCTACGCGCCTTTCTCGTTTCGCCAGATTGCAGAGTTCATACTCTTGTTGCCAGTTAACTTTGTACCATATATTGGGGTTCCAATATTTCTCCTGCTGACAGGATATCGTGCGGGACCTTTCCAACACTGGAGATATTTTCAGCTACTTGGCTACGATCGCAAGCAGCGGAACGGACATGTGTCGCAGAGACGGTGGCAGTACACCTGGTAAGCATACTGATCCTACATGAAGTGTCCAGCTGACGAGATCATCTAGGTACGGCACTGTTTATCTGTTCATGCAGCTGGCTCCTCCCTTCAGTATGTTCTTCTTGATGACAGCGGCGGTCAGTTCAGGGCTGTGGGCGGCGGACCTGGAGAGAACGCGAAGGGGGCAGGAGGCGCAGATCACACAGTCTCCCGAGTACACGGACGAGCCAGATGCCACCGTGTGATGGTCGCTGCGTTGCGCCTGCGATGTATTTACATAGTCTTTGAAGCAATCCTATCCTGAAGATGCTCACCAGGATGCCAATGTGCACAGCCGGCCACTTGCTTCAGAAGTGCGGATCTGTTGCCGACCCCTGCATGCGTCGGCGCTAGTGTCGCACGTGCCTCTAGGCTACAGGAAGCTGCCACCTGCAGTGCAGGTCGTCATGGCCGCTCTAGCGCGTCGCAAGCTCCCCGTCCCAGCCACTCCACTCAAGCTCAGCTGCTTCCCCAGTCACCCAGTCACCCACCCTCTCCATTCACCGCTCCACATACACCCCCATCACAATTCATCCTGTGGAAT